TCTCCTCGAAATTCGAGTTGACTGGAGAATTCCTCGTTGTTGATGGATTACCAATAGTATCATTTCGAACTAGAGATTCAATAAATAATTCCTCATCCATGGATTCGTCATTGATGATTAACTTTCTCTTCTTCTTTTGTTTCTTCTAAATATGTTTGGCCATATCTTCTGCATGCCTTTTCTTTGAATCTAACATGCTTTGCGTGTCTAAGATTTGAGTGTTTCACTTCTTAGCATTATTACTAGCAGATATAAGTAGATCATTAACATAAGTAATTTCTGCATCAAATTCAAATAGGATCGTATTATATGCACTTGAAGGAATATTAAAAAATTGTAAAAGAGAATGTACCTGAGAAGTCATTGGTGATTTTTGTGAAGCAGTAGAAACAAAGCACTTACTAGTTATTTTCTTTGCATCTTCTGCCTCACGCATTGCAAACAGAGCGTCGTGTGTATGGTTTCGCATCTCATCATAATCTGAACTACATGACCACATCGGGTATGTTCCATCTTCTTCTTCCACACCTTTGGCCACAAAAGACATTTCGTTTGTCTTAGAACGAACCTATGCCAATCTTTCAACATAGTAGGCTTCGTCTTCGACCTTGCTTTTCGTTCTCATCTCGCTTTCTCAACATACAATCACTGGCCATGTGATTCGCCCCATTGCAGTAATGGCAGTTGAATCCCGAATCACCTTTTAGCTTCTGCTATTTCTTCTCCTCCTCAGTACAACCTTCCTTTTTCTCATCTTTCTTCTCATCACCCCCAGACTTTGCAGCAAAACTTCCATCCACTTCACTTGTTTTCAACTCTACATTGAACGGCTTGCTGAAATATGTCTTTACTCGATTGTTAGAGTAAAATGTCACAACTTCTTCATTAGAGTTGACAATTAGGCCTTCATTATTGAAACTATCTTTTTCAGCAACCTATTTCTCGACTTCTTTTCCAGTAACTTTCAAAACAAGTGCAAGCGGACCACCCAAACTAATCTTTGATTCCATAGCAATTTCATTGACTTCAGATTCATAAGCTTTCATCATGTTGTAAAGATCATTCAAAGAGAAGTAATCAAAAAGTTTGTTGTGTCTTAATCATCAGTCTCACATTCCACCATTCCTTTCGAAGACCCATAATGATTGTAAGGTTGAACTCCATTGTTGATCCAATGACTCCATATCGATTACTCTTGAAAATTAGTTCATTTTGACGATCATAATAAGTTTCAACTACTGAAAGACTATATTATTGTGGTTTGGGCAAGGTATTCTTCATGTATAGATCTTGGTAGGGTGGTAGTGCATGTACTATAGTGGTGTTTTGGCTTAGACTCTGTGTGTGTGCAGCTACACATGTGTGTGCGGCCGCAAACATTGTGTGCGGCCGCACATGTGTGTACGCCTACACTCATGTGTGCTGGTGTGGGTACTATTTAAAGGGGTTGTCAGTGTGTTAGATGTACTAATGTATAGTGACGTATGTGTGTATACTTTCAAGGTGTACCTAGCATTTACGAGCAATAGATGTGTGCATGCTTGATGTTATTTCTCTTCTACTCCTTATACACTCTATTTTGATTGTTATTAGTTCACTGATTACTGATTTGGATCTAAGTTTGGGGACTTACACCTTCCTTTTTCTTGAATTCTCCTAATTCAAACTGACATTGTTTTACAAAATTGATTTTTGTTTTCTCACTTCCTTGATACTTTTCCTTGAGAGTATCCTAAATTTATTTTGTAGTTTTACAACTACTCAGATAATTATAAACAATTGGAGGAAGAACAACTCTAAGTTCTCTCGTACACTTCTTTTCGTTCTTCAACAATCTCTTAGATTGTTCGTTGACATTTTGATTGATAGCAAAAGTTCCAATACTTTGAAAATCAACAAGAGGATGACCATCACCGATAATACACTTCCATAGTTCTTCATCAATTCCGTTCAAAGAATCTTCCATTCGATCAGCCCACTGATCGTAGATCTCAGGAATTAGTATCATAATCTTCGTTGATGCTCCAAGAAGATGACAGTAAGACATCATCGTGTTCACATAAAAGTTAGCATTGTTGTAAAGAAAATTTTGATAAAAGATTGAATCTGATTGAAGTCAAACAACGAAAACACTTAGAATTCAACAATCGAACACTCGAGTAAACAACTAGAACGCAGAATCGATTCACAACAAAAAATCTAAGATGATTTTCTGATGTAAAAGGGCGAAAATTAAAATTTGAAACGAGACTCAAAACTTTTACAAAATCTATGAAATTCAGAAGGGTTCTACATGAATCTTGCTTTGATACCAAATATAGTTGTAATGAAATTGAGTATGAAAGATAAGATTAGAGTAAAGAATGATTTATTAACATGAGTTGTAAATAATATTTGGTTGGCTCAATTATACTTCGAAAATGTACAGAGAGTTTAGACAATATAATCAGAGTTCTTATATATCTCTCGTACATATCCCTTACTTATTGAGATTATGAAAGTATACAAAAAAAATGTAAGGCACTAAACACACAAAGCTTCGAAACATAAAAGTTCCCTTATAATAAATTTACAAACTTCCTAAACTATCAAAGACATTGGATACCGCACAACTATATTCGACATCTAAAAACACCTACGATGTGCCAGAGAAAAGCATTGAGGCATTCGGGGGGGGGGGGGGGGTAGGAAAGACTAGGATAGAATGGTATAAAGAATGGAGTGAATTTCGAGTTTTATTTATAGGAAGGAAGTGGTCAAGTATACAGGGCGTACTCAAATTACGCAGGGGATTCTGGGAGACACGTGTTAAAACTAGATGACAAGTCTTGAGGAAGAAGGTGTGGTGCCAGATCATGACACGTGTCGTCCTGTAGTTAATCTGAAAAGTATCTATGTTATAAAATCCATAAGATTTACATACTAGTTCCATTTTTGACGTTATGTATTTCCACTTGTAGCTATCGAATTGATCTACAACTTTCCCTCAGACTCTGTCGGCTAATTTTGAATTTATTTTTAAATGTATATTTTAACATCCTTAAACAGTTAATATAAGTTAAAATTCATAACCTTATATCTGACATCTGTTTTTGACTGTCTTTATTTCGTTGAGTTCCTATTAATGAGATTTTCAATTATCGTTTAGATTGTGTCAGTTATTAATTGATTGATCTAAAATTCAATTTCCCAGCTATACACAACTACGCTGAATCTTAGAAAAATCATAACTTCTTCAAATGATGTCGGATTTGGATGTTCTCTATTTGCACTCTCCAGGTTTAACGACTACTATAACTTTTGTTTAGATTAATAAGGCTAAAAAGTAATTTATCAAATATTTATTTTTTATGTTAAGCAGACAGTTTAAATTTGCGCATTTTCTTTCTTTCTATTCTATGCACAAATTTAAGGGCAGAAATCAAATGACTTGACAAATCTTGACCTAGATAGATCCGTTCAGCCTGAGAATACGATGCTTTGATAGGTTGAGCAGGGGGATATACATGAGAATCCACCAATCACACTAAAGAACCCATATCTAGAACTGTGGTTTTACTTTTCCTCGATGTACGAATTCTGTCCTTAATTCTGGTATTGATAGAGCGACTGGGGAATTCTCATAAAGTAGGTCTATAGAAAATTATTTTCTTTCTTTCTTTTTGTTAGTCATATGTTGTCTCCTTTACATGATTGAAAGAGATCCGACCTGGACTGCAACATATGCAAATCTATTTCTCTGCATATTATATCTATGAAATTCTTCCTATCTGTTAGCCATATGTTGTCTCCTTTTTGTGATTAACAATCCGACCTGGTACACAGCATATGAAACCTTCTACTTATCAATCCCTCTAAGGCTATAATTTATCATAATCTAAAATCTATCCTCTCTATGAATAATAGTCTGCTCACCTAAATTAACGAGTATCTCGGACGTTCTTGATTATTGGGGTATATTAGGAAGCGGGAAACATGTTCTAGTACATCTAGAATTGAACAATTACTGATTGTCTGTAGATCTCGCTGCTCAATTTAGGTGGACAACAGTATTCTTGGTCTTCGTCAGATAAATGGTCCTTAGGAAATTTTATCTAGGAAGTTAGTATCAACTAGTCTTGTCACTTATAGTGTGTCCAAAATTTGTCACAATTCATCGTGTTGAAGTGGATTACAATACCGACGATCGACCAGATCTATTCATGAAACGGAAGGAACTAACAAATGGATTATGATTGTCTAACAACTTTGATCCCACATCACAAAAGGATAAACAATTTAGAGGATTAAAATTAGAATTAATTTTTATTATTATTAGAATTTTCATTTTATTTTATTTTATTTTTAGTTTTATTTTTTATTTTTTATTTTATTTTTTGTTTTTATTTTTATTTTTATCTTATTTTATTTTATTTTGAGTATTGGGCTTGAATTTTGAATATTAAAAGAAAAAGAGGGGAAAGCCCATTTAAAAGGAGAGTATATATATGCGTGTGCGGTTCATTTGTTGCCACTGTTTACCACTTTGAATTTGTTCAACCGCGCATAGCTACTCTCTCTCTCTCTCTCTCTCTCTCTCTAAGAATCCTCAATATCTGTCGTTCTTCTTGAAATTGAAGCTTCATATCGGTAATAATTGAAAAAACAACTCCCATAATACATCTTTAATGCAAAATCAATCAAAAACTGATGTTTAATTGAGGATTTTGTTTTTTGACTGCGTGTGCGACCGCACATGGTGAGTGCAGCCGCACACGCTGTGTGCAGAGGGACCGTGTGTGGCTACATAAACTGGTGTGCGGATAGTGACGTGTGCGGCTGCAGACACTTGTTGTGTAATGAATCTCGTGTGTGGAAACACACATCCACGTGTGCGGTTGCATACTTTCTCATGTGAGGCTACACACTCATTATGTGTGACCAATCATGAACAGTTGAAATAAGTATGGTTAAAATTATTTTTACCCTAATGTGTGCATGTGTTTCGTTTCAGATTAAAAATGGGAGATCTAGAATTCGCAAAAGTTCACAACTCAGCTATCTTTCATGAAAATTCTCCAACAGCTCACAATGATCTAAAATTCATTGTTGAAGGACTGAAGAAATGTTATCTGGTTCATGCTTTAACAACTAGCCCGACAATTTATCCGAATTTGATGAAAGATATCTGGAGAAGTGTAGTCGTGAAGAAGGATGGCAAAGACGAAAAGTACCTTGAAGCCACTATACAAGGAAAGAATATTCAAGTTTTAGAAAGTATTATTCGAGAATCACTTCAAATTGATGACATACCAGAATATTCAATGGAAATTGATGTACATCAAACTGAAGATGTTCTAGACCACATGGGGTATGAGGGAACATTTCCTCCTACCATCAAGAAACTGCTTCCTCCCTACTGGAAATATTTAGCTCATGTATTTGTGAGCTGTATTTCTGGTAGGAGATCTGGTGCGAACGAAATCTCTCTGGTGAACATAGGAGCCATCGTAGCTTTGGCTTCGGGATTTGAGTTTAAGTTTTCAAAGTTTTTCCTACACGAACTGGTTCTGAATACTGAAAGAAACAAGAGAGACAAATTTTTGGTGTACCCAAGATTTCTTCAGATTATTTTCAATGCCATGCATCGTGAGCTTCAAAGAGGAAATGAGACATTGGATCTTAAATCTGTTGGTCCATGTGTATTTGGATTAATGAAGCATAAACGAGGAGGAAAGTTTGGTTTTGAAGGGAAATTTCCCTTAATAAAATTTGGAATTTTTGCTGAAGATAGTGATCAATCAGACTCGGAAGATCAATCAATTCCTACAGAGACTAAAGACGTTGTGATTTCAACTTCTGAGCCGGAAATTGAAGAGGTTCATGTTTCTCCTATAGCTGTAGTGGTTGAGGATTATGATCAGTTACATCATGTGGAAGTTGAAACACAATCTATCCAGGAAGAAGATGATGAAGATCTTAATGATGATGTGGAGTTTTTGAAAGAGATAGACTTCACCGGGATTAGTGATGATATTCCTACAAACATCGAACTCGATCTTGATGATGACGAGTTTGGTCCATTTTTGGGGCGTGACAACGGCTGTTTTAGAAAGGTCAATGAATTTGCTTCTTCAACAAGCAAGACTAGGGAAGACATTAATGTTCTCAAGATTTTACTCTCCTCTTCCAAGCCTTTGGAGATTTCTTCAAGTCAAAGAGATGTGAATTCAGCGATTCCTCCCTTTATTTCAACTATCTCTACTTATGCTCTACTTATTTTTTAACCATCTCAACCCCAAACCTCCCAATCTTCCTTGGTAAGAAGTCAATCAAATACGAGTTTGGAGGTGCCCATTGTCAGCCATGCACCTCAGGTCATATCCAATGTTATCACTACTAATGTTTTCACTCCACCAATACAATTAGATGAAGGCCCTAGCATAATGTTTGAGATAGGTGGTTCATCCTCTATTCCAGAATACTCTCCTACAAGACTCTCACTGGATGAGGCCTCAATCAGATTGGCTAAGCACCTCGCTCAAGACAGTCCAACCTCTTCCTCTCGTGGCAAAGGTATATCTTTCAAAGAAGAGAATTCAACTGCTGACAAGTCTACTGTGTCATAACTTCAAGAAGAGATTGGTGCTCTCAGGCAAGAACTTATTGAAAAGAACATTTAACTGGAACAACTCGCTTCTTAGGTAGAAGAGCTTAAAGAAAGGGATGAAGAGAAGTCAAAACAGATTAAGGATCTGCAGACAAATCTTGGCTCTGTGACTTCTTTCTACTTCAATTTGAAGAACGTTATGTATGATGCTTTCATGGATCAAGTTAAAGCGTTATTTCAGTAGCCACACGGAATTGAGGATCCTCCCATGGCCCCCACACAATCTACTTCAAGTGATCTTCCAGTTGATCCACCTCCTCTTAGAAGAACTACAGTTGTTAATAGACTTGAGAAAGAACCTGAAGGCAGTAGAGCCCGCATCATAATCAAATAGGGAAAGAGGACTGTTACGACTAACAAAAGTGAAGGGTTACTCTTCATGAAAAATTCAAACGAGAATCGCAAAGCCAAAGACCCTGTGCTAATAGTGACTGATATCAAAAAGAGAAAATTTGGTGATGAGTTCGGAGATAGATCTAGAATTCGAATGTGGGCCTTTGATCCCTAGTTAGACATGTGGGTTGTGAAAAGGAACTCAAGAATTCTTGAGTACTATAAGAGCACACATGATTTTACCTCATCGACCAAAGTGGATCTTGCTGAACTTTTGAGAGCCCCATTCCATAATCCCTCTGAAGATCCCAGTGCGACAAACTTCAAAAGATTTCTTGATAGATAGGTCAAAGAAAACATTCCAAAAATGAAGACTGCAAGAGCTTTATATAAAAAAGATAAAGATATTCTAGTTCCTGAATCATGCGAGCCTATGAAGATTATTCTTTGGCCTGCGACTAAAAAACAGAAAGAAATTCCTATTCCTCAACACTTCCGTGAGGGATAACTTGATAATGGGGAATTCTAGGTTTACAACGATGAAACGGCCACGACTGCAATAAAATTCAAGGATAGAGAACAAGTCTTCAGGCTCATAAGTACTAAAGATCTTCTAAGGTTTAGGGAAAGGGATATCCGCACTTTGTCTCGTCATCAGATTATATGTAGAAAGGATGTCATGGAGGAAACTGCAAAAGAGTTCACTGGAATGGTCATCACCATCATAAATGGAAAACTGTTGATGGGTTCCATGAGAAAGTCGGATTTGAAGCTATTTGAAAAACCAACAGATTGAAAATCAAGTCTATGCTAGCCTCAAACCAAGGGGGAGATTGAATGCCTATATTATTGTAGTTTGGGCTAGGCATTCTTCCTGTATAGATCTTGGTAGGGTGGTCGTGCATGTTATTTCTCTTCTGCTCCTTCTACAGTCTATTTTGATTGTTATTATTTCACTGATTACTGATTTGGATCTATATTTTGGCGACTTACAATTGGTATCAGAGCCAATTCGGTATTAATTAAAGTATTTTAGAGCGTGAGGTTGCAACATTTTACTGTTTTTGAAGTTTTGTAAGTGCATTTGAACTTTTTGATCAAGGAACTACTGTTTGTTACTGTTTTCAATTGTTTGAAATAAAAATTCCACCAAAAATCTGAGATTTTTGCATGTGCGGTTGATTCATTGAAGGTGTACGGTTGAAACATTGAATATGTGCGGTTGAAACATTGAAGGTGTGCGGCTGAGAAACTTTGAAGGAGTGCAGTTGAGTGTGTGCGGTTAAGTTTGCTGTTGTGTTACATTTGCTACTGTGTGTGCGGTTACATTTGCTGTTGTGTGTGCGGTTAAGTGTGAAGCTGTGTAAACGGTTGTGTGTGTGGTTAAGTTTGTTGTTGTGTGTGCGGTTGAGTTTGCTGCTGTGTGTGCGGTTGGAAGTGAAGTTATGTGTACGGTTGTGTGCGGTTATAATTGTAATTGTGTGTGCGGTTGTAGTGTGTGGTTTCAATCATGTAAGTTGTTCAAATTTTTAAACATGGAATCTCAAAGCATAACAGTACATTAAGAACTTGACTCCATCATGGGAACAACTTCTTAGATTCCCCGGTTCTTGAATGCTAAAGGCTTTCCAGAATGGAAATACCGAATCGAAAAGTATATTAAAATGAAAGATTTCAAGATTTGTCGCAGTATATTTAGAGGACCAATTTGAATTACTACTGTAGTGGATGAAGTCATTGTCGACAAACAAATTGAAAACTATACGGATGAGGATTTCAAAAGGGTTGAAGAATAGGAGAAACCATTACTACACTTACAATGGCATTATCTCCAAAAATTGCTCACGGTTTCCGTGAGTATACATCTGCGAAGGCACTTTGGGAAGCTCTAATTGAAGTCTATGAGGGTAATCAGGATACGAAGCAGAGTCGTCAGGACATGCATTGGCAAAACTTCAACATGTTCAAGTATGTCCTGGGCTAAACTCTTGAGAATCAGCTCCAGAGGCTCATTACTCTCACTACAGAAATGAGTTCTGCAGGTGTTTCAGTAACAAGATCATAAATCAACAAGAAATGGTTAAACTCTCTTCCAAAATCCTGGGACATGAATGTCTCAGTGATTAAGAAAACAAAATACTTGAAAAGGCTGAGTCTAGCAGAAACTATGGCTATTATCAAGGCTTGTGATCTTGATGACAAGCAGAGGGAGATTAATCATGTTAATTGTTATTCCACTGCAAATCTAAGGATCCAAACCACAAACAACAATGCTTTTTCAACCTTCACAGTTGCACAAGCTCCTTAAGTTACCCCAAGTACACATGTTTCACAAGTTCAACCCTTCATGACTCATCAATCGATTCAACCTACTTCCTATGTTACCCTTTCCATGCAACAAGATCAAGTCTCTCAACCTCAGATCATGCCTCAACAAGTTAATCTCAATGATGGATCATCTAATGTTGTACCTTCTCAGGGTTTGGTAAACTGCTACAATGCTACAATGCTTTTATGGATGGAGAACTCTCTCCACAACTTTCATTTGCTGATCTTGATCAGATTCATCCGAAAGATATAGAAGAGATGGTGTCACACCCCGAAAACCGAAGGCAAAAACATTTCTTGGGGTTGACTCCACGTTGAGTATCAAATCCAATGCACATAGTAAGTAAAGTAGAACAACCATTACATTACATAATAAAAGTTTTACAGTTGTTTCAAAAGTAAAGTTTGTACAGTTGTGATACATAGTATATATAGACAAAATGAAACGAGTCTTCATGTACTCCGTCTTCAAGCAAAAAGGATCTTCGGGTACCTGTACTAACGCTGACCTGAGAACACAAGCGGTTTGAAAATCAGCATAAAGCTGGTGAGTTCATAAGCGGTTTTTGTTTGTGAAAATATTTCGAGTTTCCATTCTGTTTCTGAAATGTTATGTACACCAAGAAAATCCCGTATTTTCTTAATAGTTGGTTATTGTTTCACAAATGTAAAATATAATAAGTTTGTACACTGAAAACATGTCAACTCATGTAAAAATGTATAGTTGGTTATCTAAATTGTTAAACTGTTCTGTTTACTTATCATATGTTACCAGGAAAATCCCATACTTTCCTTATTGTATGTTACTCATTTGTAAAAGATGTAATGTTATCTAGTTTGTTACTCTTTCTAGTTATGTAAGTATTACCTAGAAAAGCCCCATGCTTTCCTGCACGATGGTTTCTAATGTAAACGATGTTAAAGATGTAAAAGATGTAAACGTGATTAGGTTCCATGTTCTCCCCAGGAAAGTCCCGTACTTTCCTGAATGTTAATTACAATACGTAAAAGATGTAAAAGATGTAAAAAGAAATGATTCATTATTACTATAAGTAAATCTCTATTATCCTAATTGTGAGTTCCATAACCATACAATAGACTAAAACCTGTGGCAATAAGTAGTCCACATGAGGCAATAAGTCGTCCACATACTTATGACTTTCGTTACCCTTGAACCATTTCGGTTCGGCTATAGCTAGCAGCCAGGCGTGGGGTAGTCAGCCCCGTATAGATCTATACACTCAAGTCACGCTCTCTAAATACCAGAGATTCTGATTATGGGTGTAGTCCTCCACTCGCGTCCCTCGGTGGAGTGTTCTCCGAGGACGTGTCTCCAATCATACATGATTAACAAATTTACTAGTAATAATATGATAATCCTCCACCCGCGTATGTATGTGAAGTGTTACCGAGGGAAAAACAGTGTACAGGTGTTATGTTCAAATGTTTAATGTCAATCTTTTAACTGATAAAGTGTGGAAAACCATTTGTGAAATATATGTAAAACATAACAGTTTAAAGACCTATTTCACAAATACCAATTACGTGATCTGCATGTTCAATCTGTTATCAATTATGGTAATTAGTTATGAAAGCATATGAGATATGAAACACACATTTGAAAACATATTTTGAGTACAAGAATTCCCTTGTACTTTTCTTGTGTTCCCCCCCTGAAAACAGTGAAAACAGTGAAAAAGGGTAAGGGTATGAACTCACCGGACTCGGAAGTGCGTCGGTTTCGAATACTAGACGTTGGTTCGGGGTTTGATTACTTGCGATGTCCCTATGTAAATTGAAATAATTTCCATATATATACAATTAGGGATACATTCAATAATCATATGGAACATTACACTTCAATGAGGTTAAACACCTCAAAACGAGCGTTTGGAGTGACCTGGGTGACATCTTCGGACGTGTAATGGCACTAGGGACTTGGGACTTGAGTTTACT